CGCGGCGTCGCCGGACGCTGTCCATTGCTGCTCAAAGTGCGACTTCACGAGTGGTCAGTGGTATTAATTGGGCCAGGTTTGGTACCTTTGCAGTCGCCTTCTGTTTCAGTGTCCGAGACCGAGTTGCTGTGCCACCAAAGGGCTGCCCACAATATGAGTAAAGAATCGCCGTACAAAAGTGCATGTCTCTCCGCTGCCGCCTACGCGTCACAGCATCACCATTCGCCTACGCCACCGTCGTCGCCGCCGCCGCCGCCGCCGCCGCCACCGCCACCGCCACCGTCGCTGTCGTCGCCCTCGCCCTCGCTCTCACCACGCACCGTTTGCTGTCCTCTCTGCCAGACACTTGTCACTGACCGACCGCAGCTAGAGTGTCACCTTCTACAAGTAAGGCAACAAGGCGAACTCAACAAACGACTAATGGCTCTTTCAGATACACAATGCCACACCAGAGGGCTTGCACCATTTGCTGCATCTACTGCCCAACGCAGACCAACCAGCTGATGCGAAAAAGCTTTTGTCTAATGTCGTCAGTCGTCGCCGCGACGCCGAGTCGTCTATTCCCGATGAAGCGGCAAAGAAGAGCGACGACGACAGTGCCGCCAACCATCTCGAACACACACACAACGGTGGATCTGCTGCTATTGTTGCAGTTAACACGGAACGGGAACCGGCGGACGCGGATGGCGCGGCAGAGGGCTTCCAGTGCTGGTGGAAAGGCTGCAACAAGTACTTCACAACACTGTCGGCGGTGAAGACTCACTTCCATGAGATTCACGCCAGCGGCACCTCCGTATCGTTTTCCTCGTCGCCGCCACCACCACAAACACTACATTCTTCCGCCGCCATCGGCACGACGTCCACATCGTCACTCACCATGACATCGTCATCATCGGTCGGATACACGTCCGAACGACACCTGTATCCGTTTCGGTGTGGCCAGTGCAGTTTGGCGTTCCGCACGCGCGACAAGCTCAGCTTCCATCAGCAATACCATGCGATGCGTGCTGCAACGCGCTGTGCTGTTTGTTACCGGTCGTTCCGCACCATCGGCCACCTCAGCAGGCATGTACAATCGGAGCACGTGCCACTGACCAGCGTCGACAACCTGCAACAAAAAGAGTCACTGTCCGAATCGACCGCCGCTTCCAGCGGCAGGGTGCACCGCGACGAACGTAGCGACGACGGCGCAGAGTCGTCTCCTGCCGCGTCGCCAGACGTCGCGCATTTGGCTGAGGATTGCAAGGAGAACCGCGTTGGCCCTTCGGACAGTGCTGACCGAGTCCGAGACCGAGACCGCGCCGATGATTTCCTGAACAGTCCGAACGTGGCTGAGAATGCCTATTTGATGGACATGAGCCGGCGCTTTCGCTGCCACCGCTGCAAGATGGCGTTCACAAAGCAGAGCTACTTGACGATCCATAATCGGACAGTGCTGCACCGTCGCGGCGAGAAGGTCACCTACAGCATGGAGAAGTTCCTGGACCCTGGTCGACCGTACAAGTGCGAAATTTGCCGCGAGTCGTTCACGCAAAAGAACATTCTGTTAGTGCATTTTAATTCGGTGTCGCACCTGAACAAGTTGAAAAAATCGTTGCTGGATCTGCAGAGCTCGAACGGACACCTCAGTCCGTCGACCCTGGCCGCCCTAAATAAATACAGCTCTATGTACTCTTCGGCGGTGATGCAAAGCGCTGCCGCATGCGTCCCTGCAGCTAACCCTACTGCTACAATTCCTAACCGTACACTGAAATCACCATCGGCCACAACTGGCGTCAGCGAAGGCGATGACCACCTCAAGCAGACTGGCACAGAGGTTGTCGCCAAAAAGTACAAGTGCAATATCTGCAGCAAGGCATATAACACCGGTCAGAACCTGGATATTCACCTGCGATCGGTTGGTCACCACGCTAGGATAGCCAAGTTACAAGAACTGATCATGGCCGGCGAGATCGACCTAAGTCGTCCGTTCCTCGAGCAGCCGTCTAACACATGCAGCGGAAGCCTCCTTACGAAGCCTTCTCCTCCGCTGCCGTCTGTGGTTGGTGCTGAAGACCTGATGTCGTTCAACAAGCAACACATGACCGTGGCGAAGACGAAAACTTCTACCACCACTGAACAGGGAGAGCATGAAGTCGGAGTCGACCCTTTACAGTGCTTCAGCCTCACCAAACAGCATGCTTCGGTGAACGTTCCTCTGCTGGCATCATTTCTGGCCTCACAGAGTCTCCAGCAGCCCCCGCTCCTTCCTTTGCTGCATGGCCAAAACTCGATGGCCAATGTCGACGCCATGTTCATCTGTGAGTTCTGTGCACATCGCTCCAACAGCTGCGAAGAATCGC